CCTTTTGAGACTCAAAGTATCTTCCTGTGTGTTCCAATTAAGTCCCAGCATATTGTTGCAATCAGGAATTTCAGTTTCAGGGAAATCTTCCTTGATAAGTTCCCTTAATTGCTTTGAATTAGTATTCCACATCCTTAGAGGGATATTTGCTTCTTTCATCTCCTTGTTACCTTCTCTGTATAAGATTTCAAATCCTCCTCTTTATTTTAACAGTACCTTGAAGATTTTCCACATAGAAACTTTTCTTTAAGATTTCTTTGAAGGGACTTTCAGATTTCTTCAAATGTGTATTTAGAGTAGCCAAATAATACTGATTTGAAACGATAAGTTTTCACAGGACTTTGAGGATCATGTGGATTTTCAGGCCACAGAATCGAGTATAATCTCTATTTCTGTAGTCCTACTCTTTAAAAAAGCTTTGGAAATACAACCGTGTAGGCATATGGGTTTGTGCGAAATTTTATAAGCACGTCTCCAAGCTTCTCAGTTAGTGAGGGTCCGGTCATCAGACAATCAAATTTAAAACTTGCTACATCTTTATTTGCACGTGCGCTGCAATTATATTTCAACACGTAGTGGATGGTTTCAGAATCTTTTCTGACTCCATGGTGCGGGAGAAATGAGCTTCTGTCTTCAACTTGTCTTGACTACTTCCTCAATGAATTTATTGTCCAACTGTTCTTGTATGATATTATCATAGACAGTCAGTAGCTCTGGATTCTTCCTGGCTCATGTATTTGTGCTTTCATTTTCCGAAAGCCCTGCGATAATTGCTAGGCAGGTGTGGTGGATTTAATTTCCATGGTAACCTAACCCAATACTGTCCACTTATATTTGACAGTGTCCAAATATTGTTATAAGTCTGAGACTCTTGTGGGCTTGGGTTTTTTTACATCAATACCTATCGCATCTAAATCCCACAACTTTAAAAAATGGTTCATTCATTTCTTTCCCGTAACGATAATTTTTGCTGTGGTACATGATCAGCGGTTATTCTTGTAACTAGTACATTTTCCATTGAGTCAATATCAGCTTCTTTCCCACTTTGGAAGGGAATGGGACCACATATCAAGTGGCCTCCTGCTGTTTCCCGCAAGTGAACATCATGTTTACTTACTATATTTTCACAAAACAGTGATAATAATCACTTCCAATGATTAAATCAATTGGACAATAGTGCCGTCTGTATGTCAGGACAGGGCTAAAATTGACCTTAGCTGCTTTCAGTGCTGCAAACTGTTTCTTTAATCCCCGGATCTGCACAGACTTAGGCAAATCATCTACTACCACACCCTCTACTGTCTTTTTCCAGTTTCCTAGACCAACAGTGATTCTGTCTAGGTCATATATCTGTTTACCAGAATTGTGGAAAAAACCAGCTATATCTAACTGTAATTTGGCATAGGGTTGTTTTTTTCAGTTTCTGCAACACTGTTCTTCTAGGGAAGGACATTTGTGAGCCTTGATCAAATAATGTTAGCACATTGGTTTTGTGTAATTTATTAGATAACTCAACTCGAGCTGTCGGGAGAGCAGTTGCTTTAAACTTATCTCTCACATTTAATGTTGTTGCTTGTTGACTTCCTGATTCTGTGGAAGTCTTCTGTTGTTCAGCAAAAGTATTTGGGCATAATGCTGTATGATGCATACCCTTGCATTTAAAACACTTCTTCAATGAGCATTTTCCTTCCTTGTGTTCACCTAAACACTTGATGCACCTTTTCAGCTGATGAACACGTTGTTTACGTGCCTCCATTGATGTGCATTGAATTCAATACTGTGCCCAATGTGTTCCATCACAAAGTACACATTTTGGAGTACGTTTATGTGTGGCAGTCTGTTTACTGTCTGTTGTATTCACAGCTTCATAAATGCCTATATGGGATTTCCCATTTAGTTTTAGTGGGGGTAGGTATACTCTTTTTATACTGAGTTGAAAGGGGGATTATCCACGGGGTTTGTGGATTTTTCATCTTGTCTCGTTGCTTGCATGCATGAAACTATTGTTTGTAAACCATTTCTAATTTTTTCACAAGTGAAATAGCGTTTATTGAACATTAATAATTAATCGTTCAATAGTTTGTGGTGACAACTTATCTTGTACAATACCACTGATAAACCAATCACATTGTCTTAGGTCTATTTAGCACCCAGAGATCTGAGACTATTGTCTAATGTGATTCTAAAAAGCCTGTAAGTCTGAAAAACAATGTTTTTGGGGGGCTTTTAAGCTTGATATTAAGACTGCATGTTAACTCTGGCTTTGTCACCATCAAAGTAATTGTCTGCTAAGACACGTAAGGCTATTTGATAATTCCTTTAAAACCCCCGGAAATTACTTAATCAGTTCATAGGGTTCTCCCTTCACAAACATTTAAGATAATTGAACTTGAATGATTTTTAATTGAATTTTCTAAAAGACCAAAATTTTTAATTTACCTTAAAAAGGAATCTGAATTTAAGAAATTTTTTTTCATTAAATTTTGGGGTTATAGGTCTTGACAATTTTAATTATTTCCGACCTTTTTTGTATAAAAAATTTAAAATTTAAAATTTACCTCAAGGGTCATCAAAATTTTTTATGGTTTGTTTTTGAATTAATTATTCCCGACTTTTTAAAATTAATTTGATCAAACTAAAATTTTTTTCGTTAATCTATAAAACTGTACTAAAGACTGTTTTAAACTGAATTTTTCAAATAAACCATTTTAATGGTATACTGAAAATTCTAGCACCACACTTAGAGTGTTTAAAAAACACTGTACTGCTATAAACAGCTGGGTTTTTGTTATGCTAAGCAGCAATAATCGAGTAAGACACTACTGACCCACTAAGCTTAATCCCAGGGTCATGACCACGAAGGGTACAGAGTACATATGGTGTGTTCATGCTGAGTTTGCTGTCAGCCTGCAACGATGATTAACGTAAATAACGATGATACATTTCATTCACAACACGTAACATGTCACGTATAACTGTAAATCACACTGAATATTCTTCACCTATAAATTCATTTTAATATGTTAAATGTCAATGTTAATATGTTTCCTTTAATATAACAGTTATATCTAAAAGAAACTTAAACACAATCTCGTCTCTTAATCTCTGTCTATAAACATTATAAACACTATGTGTATATACACTCAGACAAACTGAACATCAGTTGGGTTGCTGCTGTAGTCAGTGTTTCTCGAGCTTGGGAGCAGTGGATGCCGGGTGCCATCCCCTGTTTTCTTGTTGGGTGAGTCACCCAGTTACCGTTTTCTTTGGGTGAACGCTGGGTGAGCGCCCGTTTTCTTTTGGCTGCTCATTCTCTGTGATTCAGTCTGGAGGGACTCATATATACTGATTTACATTGTAAAACACTAGTTTTACAGCTTTTTTCGAAGGATTTGGCTCGTAGGTTATTTGTACACTGTAGTACAACATATTTGGACCACAGTGTGGCCTTTATCCGGTTCGAGCACGACCAAAATGTTGAGAAATGGTTTACCAGCTAAGTTTATAGTTTAAATATAGGGAAAACTTAGCTTAGAAAGACAGCTCATCGCCTGCACAGCCGCCCCTGCAGACGACGTCTTGAGAAGCTGTCGAAGATCATTTCTCAACGGGCTGAAATGAATTATATTTTGTAAGATTATAAATTACCCCTAGGGGGTGTTATGTCAGCATATTTCATTCACTGATGACTGACTTACGTACTTGTGTGGACTCAAAAGTCTGCACCTCACTGCCGACTATATGTTGATTACAAACTCCTTGCAACTCAAGAACTGCGCAGTCCCCCGTACTACAAGAAATCTATAACCCACCTTGCTCTTGTTAGCTGAGCTATGGTGTTCTTCACACTTTTGACAGGTATCGGTGATTTTGATAGAAGCTGAAGTGTCCTTGGATTCCAGTCTTCCATAGTCTAGGAATACGCACACTGGTACAACTATGTTCCACAAGATTTGTCTTTATTGTTCACAATCTTATCACTAAAAGAAGCTGATCACAACTTCTCTGTAAGTGTTTTATTGTGTTTTGTGAGACACTTTATTTACACTAAATTCACGGATCAATGTTCTATTGTTGGTATCCGGGTCAGTGTGACTCTCAGTAGAGTCAAAGAAACTGAAGATGCCACTGCCTCTTCACCGTACTGCCCCAGCACATAAAGGAAAGGGACCAGTACTTTTTGTTCTTGCCAATCCTCCATGAAGCAAAGCAGATGCTTGATTATTGCTGTCTTAGCAAGACAACAATATACACTAACTTTACCATGGTAATAAAGTGGGAGCAGGATTTTTTTTAATTGTCCTGCTAAGTAAGAGATGAACGACTTTAAAACACCTTGCAACACTGGCTGCAAGGAGCTTCGGGGTATGACCACTTCAATACTTACTCATCGGGGATCCAAATAATTTTCTGAGCAGTAAACAAGATGTTGCCCCTTCTGAGAGGCTGGGCCCTCAGGTTTGAAAGGGACTGAAGGGGCTATACCCCTCCTGGAGAAAATCTCCACATGTGTGTAGAGAAGAGAGAGCATGTTGAAGTGAGAAGTGAGATATGTGAGAAGTGAGAGTGTTTTTGGAGAAGTGGGGTGTGGGGGAGAAGTGAGAGTGTGTGTGAGAAGTGAGAGTGTGTGTGAGAAGTGAGAGTGTGTGTGAGAATGAGTGCGAGTAAGAAAAAGAGAATGTGAAAGATCGGGAGAGTGAGAGATACGTATGTTAGTGAGTGAGAATTACGTAGTTTGTGAGAGATGCGTAGAGTTTGTGAGTATGTACACATGTATACACACGTATGTGTGTGTGTGTGTTCACATGTACTCATCTGTTTGTAGTTGCAAGGGGTTGAATCTTAGCTCCTGGGCCCCCTTCATTACTTGCTACTATCGTGTTTTGTGTTAAACCAGTGTAGAAAAATTCTCACATTTTCTTTTTCAAAGAATAATGAATCACTATCAGCTTTTTCTTTTGTCAGCAAAAGTTACCACTTGTGAGGAGGGGAGAGTGCACAAACCTAGCTTGTATCTTTACTTACTTCAGAATATACGAGAGACAGAGGAAGGCAGGAAACACAGTGTCAGTAGTGTTATGTGCCTGGTAAAGATGAAACACTTCTTCATCCGTATGTGGAGCTTGGTACACACCGTAAAAATGGCACGCATAACCACTATCATCTTTTTCTGCTGGTTCACTGCCTCCACCACCTACTATGGCATCTCGCTCAACTCTGTTAATCTCAGGTTCTTAAGCAGATTTGTTCTTTTTACTGTTTTGTACAGGTATTAAAGAAAAAAAGTTTCTTGCCATAAACTCCTGTAATCTTAACCAAACCATTACTGCTTTGTACACTTCATTGTTCTCATCTGTCAAAAATATTTCAGCAATTTCACAGTAATTTCTTCCACAGAGGAAATATGTCAATCATCTTAAAAACTGTAATATTTTTTCTTATGGATCATGTTTGTGTGTGCTGTATAAATGAACAGTAACTTAAAAAGTTAATTACATTTGATATGCTTCTTATCACTTATTATATTTAAGCATTAAAGGAGAAATAGTTTCTGTAGCCTTCTTGTACATAAGTTTTGCAAGGTATGTAACTGTCCACCTGTCATCAAACTGTAAGTGCTGTAAACACACTTGTGGTTATCTACCTCACTTTCAATTCCTTGTACTTCACTTCAGGAGAGCATGTAAACACTTAACATCAACAACTATTGTTACAAATTACATTATTATTTTCCAGCACCAACGAGTACATTTATATGTTCCTGTGTGGGGCAATGGAGCTACCGTCCTATTTCTTGCTGTGGCCTGCTGTATCCTACTGCGGCAGGAGAAATACTAACATCCTCCTCTACCTGGTCAGCGCCATCTCCATCCTCTTTATCCCACTCCTGCAGGTCATTACACCTCAAGGTGAGTAGTGAAGCATTCTTGATGTAGTGATCTTGGAGGAAACTCCCTGCATTCTTGATGTAGTGATCTTGGAGGAAACTCTCTGGCATTCTTGATGTAGTGATCTTGGAGGAAACTCTCTGGCATTCTTGATGTAGTGATCTTGGAGGAAACTCTCTGGCATTCTTGATGTAGTGATCTTGGAGGAAACTCTCTGGCATTCTTGAGTAGTGATTTGGGAGGAAAAATCTCTGGCATTTTTGATGTAGTGAAACTTGGAGGAAACTCTCTGGCATTCTTGATGTAGTGTTCTTGGAGGAAACTCTCTGGCATTCTTGATGTAGTGATGTTGGAGGAAACTCTCTGGCATTCTTTATTAAAA